CCCCCATCGCGGGGGCAAGCTGGCGCCTCAGCGCCTTCTGTTGTGGATGGTGAGCGTGGTGGCATCTGGTGGCGGACGGTGTCGGTATTGTCCGACGGTCCATCATCCAGACCGACAGTCCACGCCATGGTTCCCCTTCCTTGCGAACGAGTGATCGGCATCTTGATTCTGAAATTTCAGCAACTTTAAAACGGTAGTGATTATTTACCCGGTTCCGAAATACTAACGGATTGACGAATCCCGTTCGAATGACCAGCGTATGTGGTCCGGTGTATACGGATGATTCGGCTCAAAGGACCATAAAATGGTCCGGCTGGCAGTTCAATCGGAAGGATCCGGCTCGAAGGACCATAAAATGGTCCGGCTGGCAGTTCAATCGGAAATATCCGGCTCGAAGGACCATAAAATGTGCCGGACGGGCGTAACTCTCCGGAGTAAATGTTGTCGGAGATACCCCGCGAGTCGCTCACGTCCTACACCTGTAGGTTCCAGACTCCTCCAACTGCCGTCTTTCACTGCCGTCTCTTTGGTTGCTGCGGATAAACTGTGGACTGAGGTTCAAAATTAAAATGCACGATTTGTAAATTAAAATAGCAAGGGAGTGGCCAGCGGATCGACTAATTAATTTGTCGCGAGATTTTACACTGTTATTTATTTATCACTATTTTTCAACTATGATTGTTCACTATATATTTTAAAACACAGATTTAATTAAACACACAGTAATATTAAAATTTCTATTGGTTTTCTAAAATTTCTATTCGTATTTTTAAAATATCTGTTGGTAATATCAAATTTCTATTGGCAGTAACAAGTTTCTATTGGTATTCTCTACAATTTCTATTGGTAATTTTAAATATCTATTGAAAGTAACAAATTTCTATTGGTAGTATCCAAAATTTCTATTGGTAGCAGCTGGTTTTCTAACACTACTGACTAGCAGCTATTAATCAACTAAAATTAGTTGAATTTAAACACTTTTGTAACTGCGAATATCAGTTACCACTTTTTCCGTCTAGCTAACACTTTTCACGAAATGTAACGGCGAAATTTCCGTTACCACTTTTTTCAGCTAGCCAACACTTTTTCACTATATGTAACTGCGAATATCAGTTACCACTATTTTTGGCTAGCTGACACTATTTTTCTATGTGCAACTGAGAATTTTCAGTTGCCACTTTTTTCGACTATGTGTAACTGCGATTCTTCAGTTACGACCTTTTTCGGCTAGCTAAACTTTTCTATTTCACTTTAACTTTTCACTGTGTTCTGCTACTAGTCACTTCAGCTACTACCGGATACTGCTGCTTGTTACTGGTAGTTCTTCCTACTACAATGTTACTATGATTTGCCCCCATAAGGTAGACTTCGGCTATACTCTATAGAGAGCCGCTTGCCAATTCCCATTTGCCTCTTTATTTTCAATCATTTTTCTTTATGCAAATGGCACAAATTGCAACTTTTCTATATAATACAAATCTTAACTCTAACATGCTATACATCATTAAATAGACATTTTTGTTCTACATTAGTATGCGATAAAGGATAATTAATATATTTACATTTAACAAAGTTATTCATTGAAATGTCCTAAACTTTTACACTAATTGGTCATATTAATTCTTTAATTATCCTATAACTTTTAAATCGTGCTTAATTATACAAAATATTTCTTTATTATAACGATCTATACATCATATGCTAACTAAATACCATATTTACAACTCTTTTCAGACATAAAATTATTCTCATTAATTTTTTGCTTAAAACTATTACGCAGTTAATTTAAATTTCCAGAAAGTTCTATAGCGCGGCGCGCTGTGATTGGTCGATATTTTCTTAAACAAAATAAAGTTGTTTATATTAATTATTGTCAAATCGACCTTCTATACAAACATATTGAGAGTTGTAAATACATGGTGAAACTATATTTAATACATTATTTAGTCAATTTTTCCGTATTTTCATTTTTTTTAAACAAATAAATATTCCTTAATCACTTTCTCGTTTAAAGTCATTTTTGCCGTTGTGAACAGTCATTTTGGCCGTCTCGAACAGTTCGCATGGAGTAGCCCCTTAAGTATGTACCTATTTTAGGCACCGAGGCGCCAATGAGCAATTGACAAGACCAATGATTTATGTTATGTCCATGTCACAAAACTAGAGAAAATTCCGAGAAAAATAAAGTACATTTATTTTTTCCTATCAATAAAAATGGCTGAGATAATGAAGATTAAAATGCACTTTCCTACGCGATGCTGTCGTCAAAATTCGACCGACCAGACAAAGCGGGGTGACCTCAACACTCGCGTCTCGCCGCGCACTATATCTATATAGGTACTTACTATTTCGCTTACAATTTCCAGGTTAAATCACCACTGTTTTTTTTATAGGATAAGGGTGACAAACGAGCACACAGTCCACCTGATGGTAAGTGGTTGCTGCGGCCCATAGACATCTACATCTACCCTCTATTAAAATCAAAATGTAGATGCGTTGTCACTCGTGAGGACTAAGATGGAATGTCTCATTTCCAGTAAAAGGGGTCTTCGGTTCTCTACACTCACCATACGAAACACAGCAGCGTAAAACTGCTATTTTACGTTGGTATTCTGTGAGAGCGTGGTCCTTCCCCGGTCGAGCCGACCCATTCGTGCTACAACTATACTACTAATATAGCTGCAGCATGGCATGGCATTTTTAACTAAATATGTCATATAAGTATTGTGTCGTCCCCGGGTGCTACAACACTACCAAAAAAAACACCAGATAAACTATTTTTTATGGTTCCATACGAGCCAAAGTTCAGAAAAAGGTGGATGACCGTTATGAAAAGAGCAGATCCTATTGGGCCAAAAACTACCGCATTCTGTTGTGAAGATCATTTTAATGTAAGTAAACTTTATATTATTGGGGTTAGGTTTGAAATTAAGTCGCCTGAATTTGAGGATTCTGTCACTGTGGGTGGGTTTAGGGGGTTTATCCGAAGCACTTCAATGCGATTTTTGCTGCCTGAACGGCGTCAAACGTATTTGAATTATTTTTTAAAAAATATTGGTAAATAATTAACTAAACTGTGAAATGGAACGTACATTTAACTAAATTCTAACGTTTTTGACGTTGAATCTGTCAAAGTCATCTGAAAAATGATAAAAGCGTAAAATGGTTCGCTAAGCCGGCCATTTTGTTGACAGTGACAGACATACTTTACGTCATTTCGTTGCTTCCGAGTTTAAGTGAATGTGTTTCCTAACATTTTTATCTGTCTCCTCCTATTTTTCGACGACTTCGCTAAGCTTCGCTCATTTCGGATAGATCCTTTTTTATAAATGTCACCATTTATAAAAAAGGATCTTTCCGAAAGCAGAATAAATGCATTTTAAAGGTACCATTCCGTAGCCGATCGCAGACAGCAACAGCAGGCGACGTGTCGTCGCGACACGACGCGACGACACGTCGCTGCGGTCATGATTCCGAACCCAACTGCAGGCGGCAGCAGCACGTGTTCCAATCTGTTGCGAAAGTTCTGTGGGTACTCTATTTATGTAAACAAAATAGGTATATATATATATACCCACTTATTTAACACTTTAAATATAATTATTGTGAGATGCATCGTACAGTGCGGGATATTGGGCCACCTGGTTTATCAGTTTCTCTTCCACGGAATCAGTGAAACTCATTTTTTTGAGAAAAATTCAACTTGTCGTTCGGGCCTTGGCGGCACTACTGATCTGCGGTCGGGCGACATATCGTCTGCCGCTCCGGCAAACGACGTGTCGCTAGCTACGGAAGGTATTTCATAGAACTACGTAGAAACCAGTCGTGTCGCGACGACACGTCGCCTGCTGCTGCTGCGTGCGGTCGGCTACGGAATTGTACCTTTTGGCGCGTCTCCACCAAAGTTTTCAACATTTGTCAACACGTGTTGCCGACAAATGTTTCTGCAGAAACAATGTCGGGAATCGTGCTTCCATTTTCGGCGGCAACATCAAAGGAATACGCTTGTTGCCGACATTTGTTCCCTCGGTGGAGACGCTTCTTGCAACATTTTGAAACAAATGTCGTCAACTTTTGTTGATTTGTCAACAGTCGGAAACATAAATGTTGTCAACATTTTTCTCCTTTAAGTCTGATTTTTTCAATCCATCGAGCAGCAATAGTCTGATCAGATGGAAATCTAAAAACGAATACATTTAAATTGGAAATAAACATTCATGTTATTATTAACTACACTTCATTAAAACAAAATAAATATTTTTATGCTATTTTGGCTAAACGTGAACTTAATTTAATACACCACTTTTGGCTAGAAGTTGGTATTGTCTTTTTAGAAAATATTAAATATATGTTACCTACTTAGAATTAAAAAAAATACAATCATAGGCTATGATATTTATCCTAAAACACATACCATAAAAAGGTTAAAACAACTACACATTATCAAAACAAAATAAAATCAACACTTTTTTGTGGCAAATTTGAACTTAATAATATTTGGTAAATAAAAATAAAAAGGCATAGTAAAATATTTTACTATGCCTAGCAACATTTTTATTATATTGGCGTCTGTCAAATTTATTGTTTATTATTTTGTTTTGATGAATTTTTTTACAAAAATATAAGATGCTAGGTGGTACTTACCCGTGAAATGAGATTTTTAATTTTTTTTTCGTGATTATGTGATGAGTTGTGAGTTGTGCGAGCTCTTTACGCGACTACGTGGATTTGAGTACTAATGGGTGTGACCACCCAATTTTGTTAAGGATATCAAAACATAAAAAATTACGAATTTAACGGTAATTTTTTTCTATCTTTAAAATATTACTAAAATATTGATGAGTAAAGTGGTGTTTTACAGTACGGGCGACCGCTTTGCTCCGCACCGCGATTGACCGCGATGTGACGTCACATTTCGACACGCTCGCTCAGTCGGTCGCCTTCCCGCCAGTCCGATACTCGTTTCGTTTCGTGGCGCGTGCATTTTCTATACATTAAAAATGGTCAGAAAGTATTGCATTGTACCTCTGTGTACAAATTCAAGTGAAAAAACACCTGACAAGCTGTTTTTTAATGTCCCGAAAAAGGATGAAATAAGAAAAAAGTGGTTAAAGGCGACAAGAAGAACAGATCCTCTCAAAGTCACCAGTAGTATTCATTGTTGTGAAGATCATTTTGATGTAAGTTTAATTATTGTTTGTTTACTTATATACCTATTGTTACCTACAAAATCTTATCCAGCCACACAAAACACAACACAGCAGTGTTAATAACTATATGGGTTTTATATGCCTACTTACCTGTTCATGAAATAGGAGCTCTCGGCTAAGTGGTAGAGGTGTCTGCCCATCTTACGTCGTTTGTATAAGGCACAAAATTGTTACTCTGCGGATTCAAGTCAAGGTCAGCGCTCATAACTTATAACTCTCGTGGCACATCCTATATCTACAACTTTACCTACTTATCTTGGTATGTAAGTGTAAAGTATCGTAACATAGCATTGTTAATAAAAGTTATATAAAAGTACGTAAAGGTATGCTAGTAGACGCGTGTGCCGTGTAAACAGTTAATACCTACCTATGTATTACTGCGTAAACCTACTAATCAATGGTAAAGCTGTATTCTTTTCGTAATATTTTATCACTAACTTACCTTTGGAGCTTTATTCCACGCATTTCTGATGATAAAAATCATTATTTTCAGAAAAATACTGCGCAACCATAAAAAATATCCACTTTTGACAGTACTATGCATATAAATACAAATATGTATAACCATATAAAAGCTAAATGTTCAATACGTTAGTTTATATTACTGCGCGCTCGCTCTGTCGAATTGCGACGTCATGTCCCAGCGAACGAGCGGGGAAATTAACGAAATTTCAAAACATTATAACTTTCGTATTTCTGCACCAATTTAGATGAAACAAAAATTATTGTTATTTTCATAAACATAGCTTTAAATACCTTTTATTGTCAAATTATCACATGTTGGTGTGACCCATTGACTGAAATTATACTACGACACTATTATAGTACGGGTGACTACCCTAGTGTAAACGTACATAAGAGTGCGTTCATATATATATTGACAATAAAAGGTATTTAAAGCTATGTTTATGAAAATAACAATAATTTTTGTTTCATCATAATTGCTGCAGAAATACAAAAGTTCCAATGTTTTGAAATTTTGTTAATTGGTAACTATTGTGCAAGCCATATCGAAATTTAGTTTATTTTATTAACGACTAGCTGTACCCCACGGTTTCATCCGCGTATATCACGCGTCTAAGGTCTGAGCGCCGCGACATGACACCTCGCGTGTGGGGGCATTCACTGCTGGTTTCTCTCGTTTCTCATCGGGCGGCTAGGGTTATGCGTCGTTCTCGCGCCGAGCTGAGTGTTGAATTATTTTAAATTTTCATTATCTCTTAAACTATATGTCCAAATAATATGCTATAAAGAGCAAAAATTATCTTCATAAAATTGTCTTGATGATGAAGTAATTTTCGTTCCTAAGGATGCCATGCCTAATAATAATGCTCATAGACGTAAATCACTTTTTAATTTCCAATTTTTTTTTGTCACAAAATACTTTATTGTAGCTAATGTATAAAAAAGAGACATATGGTATCTATAACATATGGTACATATCAGTCACTAACCAATTCACCAGCGCACGCGGATAAAGCAGATCGGTAGCACTTTTACATCCAACTTACTTAATAAAACTCAATATTTAAGGTTAACTGATAGGTGTAGCCTAATGATAATTAGCCTATACTATTTCTCATGAATCTGGCTATCATATACAAAAATATTTTTTCAAATACTGGTAGTTCCAGAGATGACCGTGTTTCAACAAACAAAAAAACTCTTCCGCTTTATTATATCAAAGTATAAGTATAAATATAACCTATATTTTTACTTAAAGTGCAGGGCTATTCAACCTGCACCTAGTGGGCTCCATTATTGCTCCACAGGCAAGACTATGACATTTGAGGCACGCATTTATAGAATATCGGTGAAATATTTCTAGCTATGCTTAGAACCTGAACTAATTAATTTAGTGATTTTGAACAAACATGGCTTTTTTTTAAGGGATAGGGTGACAAACTAGCCCAGAGTCCTTTTTCCAGTAAAAAGAGTCTCCGGTTCTCTACACTCACCATACGAAACACAGCAGTGTTAAGCTGCTATTTTACGCTGGTATTCTGTGAGAGCGTGGTACTTCCCCGGTCAAGCCGACCCATTCGTGCTACAACTATACTACTAATATAGCTGCAGCATGGCTCTACCAAGTATAATGCATGGCTCTTAAAATATAAAAATATCTTTCTTACAATTACAAATCTACCTACAATCCACTCGCCCATCTCTGCCCGGTTCCTGCTCAGAAATCGAACTCGGAGTCCCTAATGGTGAGATATACCACAGAAGTCGTCTTAAAGTAAATTTTTATCTGTTTCCAGGTTGAAAACGACATGGACAACTATGTCAAGTATAAGCTAGTAGGAGGACGGCTGAAACTTAAAGAAGGTGTAGTACCTCACAAGTTTGCATGTCAAAAGCAATTAAATGAGACACCTGTACGGTCCCTTATAGAAAAAGATAAAAAAGATGAAATTATTAAGAAAATTCGGAGTGAAGATATAAGAGTAGATGTTGCTTCTACTTCATACAATATTGAACACACAATTGATGTCCACATTGTAAATTCTACAGAAGTTGAAGAGGATCCTCTGAAAGATGCGACAGTTGATGATAATTTAGACTATACCAGGGACAAATCTGTTAAGAAACAGCATAAAAAAATTCAGGTAGACATAAAAAAGAAAGTTCATCACAAAGGTACTACAACTGATGATAAGCTTTTTTTATGTGCCTGCAAACAAAAATAATGATATAAAATAGTCAAAGAATAAGAAGTACAAAAGATAAATACAAATTTTGAAGGAACATGCTCACTAACATCTGTGTCATATAATGAATGTGATATAGGTCAGATGTTACCGACAAGTGGAAATTGAAAAGATCTCATTTAAAATGTACAAAAAACAAGCTTCTCTTTTATGTTTATTTTGGAGACCTCAGTTACTTCTAGGTCTCACTTAACAAGGTTACTTTTGCATTCAGCCCAGAGATGCGACGATACTCTTAAAATAAATTCGTTTATACCATTCTTATGTCATTCTTGCGCTAGATTTTGGTATTTCAAGCAGCTATGTCGGGATGATTTTTAGAAAAAAATCGCTAAATGCAGCGTATATAACATCTCTTATATTTATGCCGAAATAATCTAAAGTGCTGACAACCTTCCTAATGCCTTTTGGAAAAAGATACGGCAACGTTTTGAACGTCATCATAGATTGTCTAGAATTACAAATTGAAAAGCTGGTTACACATCAGCAACAGCACGAGTACAAATCATGCAATACCATCAAATACCTGATATCTATAACTCTGGACAGTGTCATAAATTTTATATCCGAAAGTTATAGATGTAGAATATCTGACTCGGAAATCTTTGAGGACTGTGGGATTCTTAACAAGCTACAAAGAAATACAGCTGTGATGGCTGATCGAAGCTTCAAAAATGTGTCTCGTCTTTTACAGCAACATTTCACCTTAAGAAGACCACCTAGTGTCAGTGCTAAAATAACTCGCAATAAAAGCAAGTTGCTTGAAGCAAAAAAATTGTCGCTTTAAGCATATAAGAACTATTTGAAAGGTTAAGCAACTGCATTTTCATTGCATTTGCATTTCATTTTTCATTGGCATGTTACGCTACTTGAACCTTAAACTAGCTAATTTATAGAACTACATTGTTGCAACATGGTTATCTTGCAGAATCTACTGTTTGATTTATCATCATCATCATCATCTTCATCATTACAGCCTTTCATAAGTCCACTGCTGAACATAGGCCTCCCCCAAGGAATGCCACAAAGCACGGTCCTGAGCCACCTGCATACATCGACTTCCTGCATGTCTTATCAAGTCGTCACTCCATCTCGTGGGGGGTCGCCCTACACTTCGCCTACCGGTACCAGGCTGCCACTCAAGAACCTTTCTTCTCCATCGGTTGTCGGTTCTTCGAGCTATATGGCCGGCCCACTGCCACTTCAGCTTACTAATCCGTTGGGCTATGTCGGTTACTCTGGTTCTACTGCGGATATACTCATTTCTAAGTTTATCACGCAGAGAAAATCCGAGCATAACCTTCTCCATAGCTCGTTGAGCGACCTTGAGCTTCCTCATACGGCCAGCAGTGAAGGACCACGTCTCAGATCCGTAAGTCATCACTGGCAACACGTACTGGTTGTACAATTTCGTTTTCAGGTTTTGAGGTATGTCTGACGAGAAGATGTGTCGTAGTTTTTCCGAACACTGCCCAGCCGAGTTGAATCCTTCAATTGACCTCTTGGTCGAAGTTGGACTTACCTAGTCGGACTATTTGTCCCAGGTAAACATACTCGTCAACAACTTCGAGCTTAGTGCTCCCAACAACTACCGGCATAAGTGTGACATGGACATTAAACATGATCCCTGTTTTGTCCATGTTCATCCTAAGACCTATTCGTTGGGAGACACTATTGAGGTCGTTGAGCATGGTGCTTAGGTCCTCCAGCGATTCTGCCATAAGGACTATATCGTCGGCAAATCGAAGGTGAGTGATGTACTCGCCATTGATGTTAATGCCGTATCCTTTCCAGTCCAGAAGCTTGAAAACGTCTTCCAATGCAGCGCTGAAGAGTTTCAGGGATATAACATCACCCTGTCTTGCACCTCTCTGCAATTGGATAGGTTTCGTACTCTGGTTCTGTACTCGGATAGCCATCGTAGCTCTACTGTACAAATACTTCAGCACTTCGATATACCGACAGTCAACTTGGAACCGCTGAAGGGACTGCAACACCGCCCAAATTTCGACGGAATCAAAGGCTTTCTCATAGTCCACATACGCCAGACATAGTGGCAATTTGTACTCTTCGGACTTCTGTACAATTTTATGTGGTCTATGGTACTAAAGCCCTTTCAGAAACCGGCTTGTTCGGGAGGCTAGAAGTCGTCAAGTCTGCGCGTGAGACGATTCGTAATGACTCTCGAAAACAGCACGTAGACGCGGCTCAGAAGGGAAATCGGTCTGTAGTTCTTCAAGAGAGCGTTGTCACCTTTCTTAAAGAACAAGACCAGCGCACTTCCGCTCCACGCCTCCGGTGTAATGCCACCATGGAAGACGGAATTAAAGAGATTCTGAAGGACTTCAGGTACCGGTCTTCCACCCGCTTTCAGAAGCTCCGCTGTAATTCCATCCTCGCCTGGGGCCTTGCCGTTTTTAAGATGCTGGAGAGCCATTCTAATCTCGCTCAGACTGACGTCCGGGATATCTTCGGAATAGTGTCGGATAAGACTCGCTCTTGGATCGTTACTCACACTTGCGTTTGGCTCCAACGGTAACGTGTACAGCTGCCCATAGAACCTCTCAATCTCACACAAAATCTCAGATGCCCCGGAAACGATACTGCCACACTCGGTCTTCAGCTTTGACAGTTGGCTCTTTCTGGCAGACAGATCTCTGGCAAAGACTTTGGAGCCTTGGTTCCGCTCGATCGCTTCTTCAATACAAGCTGTATTGAAGTTGCGTAAGTCCAGCCGCATGCATTTGGAGATCTGTCTGTTCAGTTGCCTGTATGCTGTCAAATCTGTTTAAGAATGTAGCTTCATCTCCCGTCTATCAGCCATTATATTGAGAGTGTGATCGGAGAGTTTTTGTGTTCTTCTGCGGCGGGTCTTGCAGAACTTAGCTCCGATCGCATGGACAGTTTCCATTCGGGACTTTGAAACAGAACACGAGGGGGACGGAGCGTTGACTTCATTAGACGAGACCTCTCCAACTTCACGTTTAGGTTCAGTGCGCCCCTAACCATTCGGTGATCGCTACCAGTTTTCACCCTCGCGATCACGGAGGCGTCACTGAACAATTGTCGTCTGGTCGTCATAATAAAGTAAATCTCATTTTTGTTGAACCGTCGGGGCCCGACCAGATCCACTTCCTGTGGGGCCGCTTCTGGAAGAAAGAGTTCATCATAAAGAGTCCCTCTTTCTCCATGAAGTCAGCCAGCTGCTGGCCCCTTGGGTTCCGTTGCCCTATTTCAAATTTCCCTACTTTCAGATCACCGTTTTCTCTTGTGCCTAGTTTTACATTGAAGTCTCCCTTTAACACCGTATATTGGGTTTTGGAGGAATGCATGGCTCTAGAGATATCCTCATACATTTCCTCCACCTCCTCATCGGGGTGTGCCGAGGTTGGTGCGTAAACCTGTACGACCTTCAGCGAATACCGTTTGGTGATTCTGAGTATAAGGTACGCAACCCTCGTCGACACACTCTCAATCTTTACAACGTTGTTAACGAGAGACTTGTGGACGATAAATCCGACACCTCGCAGATAGGACTTTCATCGTAATCAATCTTATTCTCAAAATCAGTTTGTGCTATGATAAATAGGCCCTTTTCTTTTCCAATCAGATGCATCTGGGTTTGAATTTGTGCATAATATATCTTTCCCAACATTCCATCTTTGTAATATGAATTATAATCATCCTTCGTATAACAATACGTAGTTTCATTAGCTATTGACGCTGTTACGTCTATAACGCATTCCAAACTATAGATTTGAGCCTGCTTGCAGTACGGTAGACTTTTGTGCTAATTTTATATCTTCTTCTTTTTCGTCACATTGCAATGTGCAATTGTAAATGTGTATGGTTTTGTGCGTACTTTGTGTTCTGGCGTTATTCTACATTTTACCGTGCACATATCGCCGTCTCCTTTTAGCCTATCGCCATAGTTTTCCCGTCCTGATCTAGAAGACATGAATTGAATACTATTACGTATTACTGATATGTACATAAAAGTGAAATATAGTGGATTTTATAGACATATTAAATCGTGGATTATCCACTTAATCTAATCAAGAGGCCCACAGGTGAATAGCCACCTTTCAGATTATTTGTAAAAGAACTGCTAAGTACAATATATTAGATATTTCGACTGGAAAACTTTATGATAAAACAAAATTGTTATGAGCATAAACTTGGCCTTAAGGTGACTACAACTATAATCGAACATAAATAACTAACTAAAATTACTAAGTAGAACTGCAAATTGCAACTTACAATCCAGTTTTGCGTGCGTAAGTTTTAGTTCCTACTAAATTTTTCGACTAACGCGGCCTTTAGTTAAGTCTGTTGCAACAGCCCTGGTTAAGGTACGACATGACGTAACTAACGTACTTGTACTACTAGTACTGCTTCATAGATAAGTTGATGCTTACCTTTGCATTTTTATTCCACGTATTTCGGCTGCTGCTATAAAGTCACTATTTTTTTTAAGAAGAATTCAGCTACCATAAAACCATTTACTTTAGATAAATTGTCAGATTGACTTTTTCAAAGCCGACTTCCTTGAAAAATCACTTCCTGTTACTATTGATATACAAAATATACAAAACACCTTAGATACACATTCAGCGTCCCAAAAACGTTCTCATAAAATGAGCGCACAATTTAAAATTACGCTCATTTTAAGTGGTATAGTGCAAAGACGTATTAAAAAAGATAGACAGGTTACACACCAACATTATTGTCTTTTGAAGTGGCGCAGGTAGCACATACTATATCTACGTACAGTTATTTATTATGACACGTTGCGCTAACAAAAAGAGACAAATGATAGGGCGTACCTATCGTTAGAAAAAGATGAATATACATCATTAGTTGCGTATCGATTGCTGCCGAGCACTCATTGGCGCGAGCGCGTGACATACCGATATGGAAAATGAACACACTAGCTAGCGTTAAAGTTTACTCATTTTTTTTTCTTTCATTTCATTCGG